CTAATGATTTATAAAGTAAATCACTTCATCTTTTTAAAAGATGACTAATAAAGTGAACTGAGGGGAATACTCCTCTTTTTCTATTTATATGCATATTTGTTTTGATCCTATTTGGAGGGGATCTTTATGATTTTTGTATACATTTTTACTTCTTGTCCCTGTTAAATGTTAAGAAAATTATTAAATATTAAAATATTTTATTTTTAAACTATATATATTTAATAGGGATAAAGTTAAATATTTGTTGAATTTTTAGACCATTGATGAGATTTAAGATTTTTTTTAGTTTCAATAAAAATATTAAAAATGATTTATAAATAAATTTAAAAAGGGTATTAGATTTTTAATAGAGTTAATATATTTAAAAATACTTTAGTTTCAATAAAATATTTGAAAGTAATTTATAAATAGATTAAGATAAAATATTAATTAATTTTGACAGGAAGACCACTGCTTTGAAGTTTTAACACTCGTTGCTGTGGGCCGTGGGACTATCGTTTCCTTCATTCACAGCCTCTGGAATTAGACTACTGGCCCTAACTTCCAAGTCCAAACCCGACAAATGATCCATTGGGTAATCACGTAATAGTATTTCTTTTATGATATACAAAATAAAATTATAATATTCCATCCATCTTAAATTATACAAAAAAAATTAGATAAAATTTTATATATTAATAAATTTTATTAAATATATTTAACAACTTTAGCTTTTTTTAAAAAAAATATAAACTTTCAAAAATACTTATCATTTAATATATTAAAAATAAAAGGAATAGAAATTAATTATAAAAGAAAAAGGATATTATTAGAATTGATGCATTTAATGAAACCTTAATCTACCCAAATTACCTTTAATTTTAAGATGGAGAGACTCTTTTAAAAGTACTATATAATTTAGGACAGAGGGAGTATTTCATTTTAATTTATAAAATATTTTTAAATAAAATTATATATATATATATATATTAATGAATTTTATTAAATATATGTTACATATTTATTCTTTAAAAATTAGAATATAAATTTTAAAAAATGCGATTAATCAAACACTCCATTTGTAAAATAATTTTAAAGAAAGAGAATATAATAGAAAGTGTAATAATAAAAAAAATATTATGATTAAAATCTAGTTTTTTTAAATGTCTTATATTTTGGAATGTCAAATCTCCTTAAAAAAATGTCTTATAAAATAGGGCGGAGGAAATAATATATATATACTCCCTCCGCTAAAAAAATGTAAGGCATTTTTAATCGAATCTCATCTCTTAATAAAGTAGTTACTTACTTTTCAACTAACTCTATCTTTTTACATTTATTCCTATTAAATATCCTACAATAAATATAAAATCATTATCAAGAGGAGCACTTTTAAAAAAAGATAATGATTACACTTTAAAAGATTAAAAGTACCTTACATTTTTAAACATCTAACTTCTCAAACAATGCCTTACATTTTTTAATAGAGAAAGCATATATTTTTTTGTTGTCATTGGATAATAGTTACCCTTTTATTATTATTTTGTTCAACAAATAAAAAGATTACTTTAAAATATATTTTTTATATGTTTAACTTCATTGTCTTGTGTTGACCAAATGAGTTGTTTATCCTGATCAAACAAAACACATGACTGCCAGGTTCCGTGGGTTTTCTATCCTTCGAATACTTGAACTTCTGCAGTCAATTTTATGTGCGAAGGCACTGATAACTTTGGATTATTAATAATGTTAAACAGCATCAGACCAAATCAAAAGATGATTTATTGATAAAGTTGCATAAGATGTGAATGTTTTCACGTCATTTTACTGGGGATTTATCAAGTTTATCATGTGAATATTTTATATTTGCCTTAGGATTTGTTTGCTTTCAGAGATTAATTATTTGAATTTATGTTAATATTTGGGAAAATTCTATTCGTGGCCTCTAAATTTTGGGTGCCAGAGAAAATTGATGATAGACACAAGTATTGAAGATGGGAGAATGAAATCGGATATCTTATGAGAAAAAATATTGACACATTTCACAAAGATATGTATCTTTCAATGTTCGGCATGATATAGTTGTCAATATTAATATTAAAAATTTAGTTGGAAATGAATGTGTCAAGGTACAAAGGTGTCACGTATAATTTTCATATAAAATATCTAAATGTCATTTTCCCATTAAAGAGATCAAAGGTTTCAAATAAAGCACCTCGTTCAAGTTTTTTTTTTTTGAACTAGCGGATGCTATTAAGGAACATGAGTTGTTTGGAAGCTTCCAAAATACTATGAGAAACAAGGCCATGAATTGTCTAATTGGATACCCAAATTGAAACCTAACATCGATAAATAAAGAGTCTTTTCTCTTATCCAAATTAGTCGATCATCATAAAAGTGCAATTTTTAAGTCTCATAATTTATATTGGTGTCCATACTATGATATTATCTTCATTTTAAATTATAAGATACTTTTAAAAAAGATTTAAAGTCTCACAAGATAGTATACTTTTAAAAAAATAAAATTATATTAATGATAATTTTTTAATATTATCCTTTTCATTATATTTTCTCTTTTTAATATTCTTTCATAAATAGAGTATTAAATTAAAAATATTTTTAAAAATTTATATTTTATTTTAATTATTTTAAAAAAATAAAGCTATATAGTGTATATTTAATAAGCTATCTTGTTATATATGATTTTGTCTAAAAATATTTTATAATTTGGGATGAATCGGGGAATAACATACAGCATTAACCATTAGCTTGGCTCAAGTAAAAGTCAACTTCTTAGAGCCTAAGCAAATTAAATGATTCTTAATGATCTTGATGATTAATATGAACCTTTGTATATGCTTAATAAGCCCGATGTACAGAATAGGTCAGTAGGATGTCTTTGCAAGACAAAGGCTCCTTCGTGAAGAGAGCAATCGATCAACGTGGGGGGTGTGTGCGTGCGTGTGTTTTTTTTTTTTCACATGCAAAGCCGAATAATAATAATTTAAGAAATTAAAGAAAATAAAACCCTTGCTTTCGAACCCTTATGTAGCAAATTTAAAAGTATTCATCTACTACTCAAGCGTTTGAATTAACAAGTTAGGATAAACTTGATTCTTTTTAGTTAGAGGTATCAAATTTGAGTCCTAAATATATAACAGATGTATCTCTTAAAAAAATATTTATAAGTTGTCAGTCAGGTTGATTTAGATCAAAGATCTAAAATACTAAATTCAAAGGAAATAAATGCTCATCTAACCCAGCATCTAGATGTTATAATTACCTTCCCTTTGAAGGGTTTTTTGGTCATAGGGTTATTAATCGATATGTAACGTCATTAATTTAATTTCAACCAAGTGAACTAATCTAATATTAAAAAGTCTCCTCCAAAACACACAACTATTTTTATGCTAAACTAAATTAATCCAATTAAATATATTAATCGATTTAGATTAGGTTGAACTGAATTGTCAGCTTTTGAAGGGAAAATGTTTAAAAAAATTCAGTTCAAGTCTGCAATAATAGCTTACACAAAAAAGCAACCAACCAATAGATTAATCAAAATAAAACGCTGCTTTTATGCAATTACTGTAAATATATTATTTATTTATTTCGGTTCCATTTTTGTCTTCAGTTCTGTCATGAACTCGCGATTAAGAATATATCATTTTTATAATATAAACCCCTAGAATAATTTCGATTTTTTAAAAAACCAGCATGCATCATGCTACGTCAATATGTTTTTGTTTTCCCTTTTCTGGCCAAACTTGTCAACATGGAATTTTGAAGATGATCGTCTATGGCCGACGGAAGCTTCAAACTATTGAAATGGAAATCTCGTTTTAGTCAAACAAAAAAACCATACAACGCAAACACATCGATCGCCAACCCTATTATTATCTACGTCGTCTTTCTTTCACGAAACTTTTACGTCCCTAAGAAAGGGCGGAACCAGCTTTAATAGTTCCGGGACCAAACTTTCAGAAAAAAAAAAAAAAAATATTATAATTTAGAAATATTAGATACCAAATTATGTACAATTATATACACTTTTGAGAAAATTTTAAAAACGTTTAAAATAAAATCATATAACATATTTATGTTCTCTCTTATCCTTATATTATAAAATAGTTTTTAAAAATAAAAATTAGTCTAAATTATAAAATACCCAATTAGGAAATCATGTAATACTCCATTTTTACTCCCCATAATTTTAATAGTTTTTTTGTAACTTGAACAAAGCATGATGAGATTCTCTTTAATTAATAAGGGTATGAGTAAAATATTAAAATATTTTTTTAAAAATAAACAATCTGTTATTTTTTTTAAATCTGCATGAAAAAATATTTAGAAGTGTATATAAAAGGTGAAGGGAGTGAGCTCCCTCTGAAACCTCAATATAATATATGTTTTAAAAACTTTGTTTAGTTTAAAATACTTGATATTTGGTAGTTTTTATGATTGTTTTTTTTAACTAAACTCCTATTTTATTTATTACTTTTTTAAAAAAATTATGTATTAAAATTTTAATTATTATTATTAAGACACGGACATAAAACATTGAGTGGGTGTATAACTGAAAAAACATACAGTTTTTTTAAAAGATTAAGATTTTACCTAATTTTCTTTAAAACTATGGAACAGTTATTAATATCACATATTGTAGCTTAGAAAGAATATATATATATATATATTCTCTCCGTGCATTTTTAATTGAATCTCAACTCTTAATAAAATAATTATTTATTTTTTAACTAATTCTATTTTTTTATCTTTACTCCTATTAAATATAAAGTCATTATCAATAGAGACACTTTTAAAAAAAGATAATGATTACATTTTAAAAAATTAAAAATATCTTATATTTTTTAACATTTAATACTTTAAAAATATATTTTTTAACTGGAGAAAGGATATAATTTGTGTATATGTCTCTGTATAATATGGGAGATTATTCTAATTGTGGTGTTACGTCCATATTCCCTCCCTCTAATCCCCGGCCCGGTCCCTAAGCCAAATCCATGACTTTACGTGCTTCTTCGACCATTCAGATGAATAACTTCGTTGATCTCTCACGTTTCAGAACAACTTCGCCGTCTGCTCCGTCTTCACTTTCCATGGCCTACTACTTCTCTGCACTCCTCTCCTTCTCTTTTTTCTTCATCATCGCACAATCCCAACCAGTGATCCTTCGTCTCAATACTTCACCTTACTTATCACCCTCCACGATCCTTAACTACCAAAAAATGGTTCAGAAATTTAAAGTGTTCATCTACAAACCAAGCAAAGCTTTTAACTACACGACCGAAGCTGAATCCATCTTCTACGCCACGCTTCAAAAGAGCCGCTTCGTCACCCAGAACGCCGACGAAGCACACCTTTTCTTCGTCCCTTTCTCTCCCGATATTTTCCTTCGTGCCCTTTCCCGTTTCATCGGAAATCTAAGAGTGGACTTCCCGTACTGGAACCGTGCCCTCGGCGCCGACCACTTCTTCTTGTCCTGCGACGGTGTTGGGCACGGTTCGAACCGGGACGTCGTGGAGCTGAAGAAGAACTCGATTCAAATCTCATGCTTTCCCGCAAGAAAGGACGGGTTCTTCATACCTCACAAGGACGTGACGCTTCCTCCGGTCGTTCATAATTTTCACGCTCCGGCGAACACAACGGTGAGGTTTCTGGGTTATGTTCGGCACGGAGCAGTGACGTCGTCAAGTTTGATTGGCGAGTTGGTCAACGATCCGCAGTTCTTGGTCGACACGGAGCCGTCGGATGAGACTACTTTTGCTGAGAGATCGAGTAGCAGCAAGTTTTGTCTGTTCGAGTACGGAAACGACGTGTCATGGATCGGCGAGGCCTTGCGTTTTGGGTGCGTGCCCGCGGTGATTGCTGATCGTCCCCTAATCGACCTGCCGTTTATTGACGTGCTGAGGTGGCAGGATGTGGCCGTTTTCTTGAGAAGCGGGAGAGGAGCGAAGGAACTGAAGCACGTGTTGAATGACACGTGGAGAGATCGAGGAGACCTAATGAAGGGATTGGGTGTGGCAGCGAGTCAGCATTTCGTGTGGAACCCGAAACCTGAGCCGTTGGATTCGTTTCACACCGTGATGTATCAGTTATGGCTTAGGAGGCATGCGATTAGATATACGAGAGCCGAATGACAGGAGCGAAGTTGAATTCAGACACGTATAGCACCGACTTCTTCTTGTTTTTTGTTTCTTTGTTTTTTTGGATTTACGATTCTATATGCCAATATCGCAGATGTCATGAAGCTGCGTGTAAGTGTTCATAGAGGTATTATATATATATATATATATATATATTAAGAAGGCAAATGAAAAAGAAAAAGGAAAAATTTTCTAAATCAAAGATGCTTTTTCAGATTGCTCAACTCTAACGAACGTGATAGGGAATAAATGAGCTGTATTATATGGAGATGCAATAATAGTCAATGATCTTAAGGATCGTTTCTTTCCATTTCCAAGCAATCACTAATCAGCTCAATAAATAAATAATAGAAGGGTGTATGTCATCTTAGGAGAAGTGGGAGTACTTAATTATTTAAAATTTAAGGCAGAATGGAGGAACTTATTTAGCTCATAATCGAACACATGTGATTATGAGGATGAGATGTCAAACTCAATCAACCAAGAATCATTTACTCTATATGTATATATAAAGATTAATCTAGACGATTTTTAACATGCAAATTTTATAATCTAAACATGTTTCATGTAAAAAAAAAAAAAAGAATTTCCACTTCAAAAGATCTATGCACAGAGGTGATATTACAATTGTTCACCTATTGTAATAAGCCTAAAGCAGCCTTATAAATAAGTCTCAGTGTGACTTTTCAAATCAATATAATATTTGTAGAAAGCCATTCCATTCTAAGTTATTGACAATATAGACTCTTTATTGTCTCGTTTCTTAAATTTGCTATCATGCATGGAAGTGGACCTTATTAGAAAAATAGTCGACGTTGGGCTTGTTTGTAATGCCATAATCATTGATAGTTCTTCAATTGGAAAACGTGAAACATGCCACAGAAATTGTGTTGGGAGAGTAGAAGACAACTAGGTTCTCATCGTTCAAAAGGATTGATCAATCAAACACAAACTCGAATTAAACCAAAGGAATAGTTAATTGATAAACCAACAGACATGCACCCATACAAATCTGCAAATAATCATTTCTGTACATTTTCAAAGTCCTACTCTAGCAACAAACAATAATATTCCTTCTTTCCCTTTGATATGTTTTTCTTCAATCGTCGCCTCCAAAACTTCTCTTGCTGAGAGAGAAGCAACCTAGACACCTATAACAGGCCATACAGTAAACGTCAATTTGTCAATGAAACAAACAAATGCCACGCAGGACAGAAGGGGACCAACAAAAATTACAACTTTATTAACAGAAGTCAAAGCATTTGCCGGAGCTGCTGGCATTCCTGACGGAGAGACTTCACTTCTTTCATCAACTCAGCTTGGTTCTCCACAATGGATTTTATCACGCTGAAGAATTCCGTCTGTTGAACGTGGCCATTAGTAATACGGAGAAGGAAATAATTGGAAAAATGGTAAGTGACTTCAGATGCATACCTCCTGCAGATGAAACTGTCTTAACAATTCAATATGAAGGTTCCTCATATCCTCATCTCTGGGTTTCAGACGCGAATCTAGCGTTTCTTCCAAGGTTCGTTGAAAAAGCTGAAGTGTAAATGAAGAGCCTTGCTGTGCATCTAATTGAGACGCTTTCTGTTGTTGAGCGGTTACACCCTATTATAAATATCACATCAATACATAACAGAAGGGGAAAAAAAAATACTATATCCATAAGCAGATCATCACAATGAGTTCTGACGTCCTGTGACCAATTTAAATTTAAATTCTGAATTAAACCACAGAATTTGCACAACATATACCAATGAAACACACACATAGCCTAAGTTTTATGCTGAGCAATTGCGGAAGAATCAAGGATGAAGGAACAGAGATAAATGTTCTACAGTCTACTAAAAACAATCAAACAATAGCATCTGCAAAGCAAACAAGAGATATAAATGATGCAAAGATTTCACAATTACATACATTTGCAGGTAATATAGAGCTTGATTCTGTTGAAACTGATGTATCAGACTTCAGCAGCAAGCTATTTAGAAGTTCTTCTCTGGTTTCTGCTCCTGATTTTTTCATCTTAGGTGATCCTACTGAAAGGGATACTCCATCACTGAAGGTAGATGTAGTGCTTATTCTCTCGGCATAAGTGGAAAATCGCCGGGTCAAAGATGACATTCGTGGAGAATCCAGGTTACCCTGTCCAAGAATGGATTTCGTATTCATGGACAAGGAGTTAGAAGACAAGTGATCAGGAAAACCTAATGAAGTCTCCTGACTTGTAGAGACATCTTTGACGCGTAAACTGGCAAAATTGATGCTTGAATTTGTGAGGGAGGTAACATCCGATGATGAGGAAGCCTGCAATCCGGAAAACATTGATCCTGCTGTCTGAACACCAGAAGCCGATGTCCCAAACCGAGAAGGTGCATTGATGGACTGGCGGAGGTAAGTGTATTTTTCAGATAACCTCTCACCACCCCAAGCTTCCGGAGGAGTGATTGAAGAAGCATCATCCTTGGAAGATGGGGGAACAACTGATTCCACAGGTGGAAATGAAGATCGAGTTTCATCCTACACGAATTTATAAAGTAATACAATCTTTTCAAAATAAGTAATCTCATTTGAATGAACTATGTTGGGCAAGTACAATGAAGGATTCACGCCAAGCCTTGTGCATATATTAAATCCTGAAAATTATTTTGTGCTAGAGGGTGAAAAAAGAAAGCCCTGGAGATCAGTTTGATGAATCAATTTATAATGCTCAATCAATGCTATTAAGCAGCATGCCTTCTTTGCAAGTCAAAGTTAAAATAAACCTGGAACTTAAGTCTTTTGAAGATCATCCTCAAGGGCTTCAAGTTTTTGCTAAGAATTTGAAAGAAAGGAAGAAGCATAAACATGTGGAAGAAAAAGGTACTGAATATTGCCAGTGCAGATAAGATGTAGAATAATCAAACTCACAACAAACTGTGTCCATAGGTTAGAATGATGCAAAGACAAATGATCTTTCAAAATAGACAACTCAAATTATTCATTTCTTTGACAACCATCATCTCTTAGTATTCAATACTGAGAAATTCTAGTAATATGCATCATATAGAGCAGTTAAATTCAAGACTAAGGCCACAGGGAAACAAGAACCTGCTTAGAAATTGACCCAGATTTCCAATCGAATATGGGATGATCAATGCTGCCTTCCTCTGTATTTGGAAATCTCCTACTAGATGAAGGAAACAACAGTGATGAAGGTTTCCTATCTACAAACATGTCCTTCTTTGCTCCATTTTCATCCCATAGTGAGGGTGTTATTGGTTGAACATCAACAAGAGGGGAGAAAACCTCCATCTCATCTTTGAAGTTATAACTAGAACGTGGAGCATTTAGCCTTGAGAGATTTCCACCCGGCCATAAATGGTTTCGATGTGGTGTTTCCTCTCCACTAGACACATTTAGTATGCTTGATGCCAATCCACTGCTAGATGATTTAAGTGAAGATACTTCAATGGAGGCATTTAAACGGCCAGAATTCCTAGAACTTGACACTGCGGTAGATAGAGAAACACTTGATGAGGTTGCAGAAGGTAAAGGATCTGGCATAAGGATAGAATCTTCAACTGCATCTCCCACAAGTGCAGTCTCAGCAGTGCAATTAGCTTCATTGACACTCACAGGTTTTGACCTTTGCCAACACAAGCCTGAAACAGCCTGTTCCACAATATACATTATTAGAGCTAAAAACATAAATTCGTAAGCTAACTCCAAGGGAATAAACAAGATCACATAGTCAAAGTCAACGTTTTGAAAACCCAACCGAACGATTTTAGAAAGAAGTAGAAAAAAGGGCTGTGATTCATGTTCTGATTACCATTCACGAGTTACAGAGGGATAAATAGGATTCAGGCCACAAAATAAACCCAAAAAATCCATTACAATCAGGTCCCTAAATGCTGCTGAGCCTTGGGCATAATGTGGAGTTACAGAGGGATAAATAGGATTCAGGCCACAAAATAAACCCAAAAAATCCATTACAATCAGGTCCCTAAATGCTGCTGAGCCTTGGGCATAATGTGGAGAACAAAGTATACATGTGCAAAAGTTTAGTGAAGGAGCCACTGGAGGCTCTAATAATGACAGAGATCACATCTTAATGACATGATTAGTTGACCATTGTTGATTTCTGAAATACTCCACATATCTAGGACTGATTGACATGATCACGTCATTAATGACATGATTAGAATTAATCAGACACTATTAGCCATTAATCACATCTTGATGACGTGATCTGCCTCCTTACATAGCCTCAATAGCTCTTCCTTTTTTTTTTTTTGCCTCATTTGACCCATTAATCCCTCCATTATTTCTATTATTTTGTTTTCTACAAGGCACGAAAAGTTAGAACACCACAGCAGTGTCTTTGGAACCAGAGTCATACTGGTCAGTCAAACCAGAGTACAGGTGAACTGTCCCTAATTTAAACAGGTTCGCTTGGCAAGCATACTTATCCCACACACTTCTTTTCTGCGCTTAGAATATTTGTGGACCCAAAGTACTTGGCTTTTATTTCAGGCCAGGAAGGACTTTCAAAAACAAAGTTTCCCCCTTTCTTTTGCGCTCCACATCAAGCTTCATCCCACTAGATGAGATCAAGTACATGAATCACGTGACACTCTATCAACAAGCAAATCTATGGATATATTGTTCACTATATCATGAATTAAAAATTGATAAAAAGCAATCAATTAATCAGAGATGTATGTTATGCTTAATTAAATCTTGGATAAGATGCACAGCATTTGTCATTTTAATTCACTTTTCACTAAAATAATTATATTTTTATTATTCAAGATGAACAGGTTCCACCTCATTAATTAGTAACCCCAACTGACATGATACCCTAACCTGGCCCCAGGTCCAACAGCTATGTACAGTAGGCACAAGAGAACTAAACTTGTATACAGTTCCTACCATCCATCACCACTTGGGGTCAAGAGAATGATCACATTCAAGAAAATAAGTAATTTAAAGCAGCTTCTATATCA